AAAAGGTTTTGAAGGACAAGAAAGAACGGGACCGAACTGGATCAGAGAGGAAAATGTAAGTTAACTAGTGCTATCCGGCAATTTAAAAAGTTAATCTAATTAATTACAGGATTTGTAATTGATTAATCTAATAAATTGCACTTTAATCTCATATCTGCTCGAGGTCGCCAAATAAAGAATTCCGATTCTAGGACATTACAAAATTGTAGAGCATGACTAATCAAATTAATTCACTAACTGAGAAGAGAAAATTTAAAATCCACATTTTTATCAGTGATTGAATAAAACCGAAGTCGGTGCATCTTGTCCAAAATAAATTCTTCGCTCAATCAGGAAACTCAAATTTCACATTCGGCGTGTTTCAAAAATGAAATCTCAAAGAAGAAAAAGGTCAGCAAACCAATTAGACCCGGCGCATTATTCAAAATTTCAGTACAAATATAGACAGATAAATAAAATTCAGAAATAAAATAAGGCTGAGTCTCAAACAGGCACTTCAGCAGACTCTCAGTTCAAAATGAAAACTAAAGCTGATTCAATACAGCAATTTAAAATGAATAAACACATTAATCTGACTGAATCGCTCTGAATCGAACTAAAACTCTGATAATGCTGAAACTGGTCTGAGCGTTCTGAGCATGCTCCAGTGTCTGCACGCCAAAAGTTTAGTCACATGACAGGACGTAAACAAAACTTTCCTTTCCTGAAGTGTTTCCTCCGCCAAAGAGTGTAACATATATATCTACAAAACGACTGTCCTGCTGTTAAGGGCCTGAACATGAGCATTTACGTAACATTCATTAAAGAGACAAACTCATTTTTATCTCAGTGGACGTTTGCGACCTTTCAGAGTTCAGCGATCAATCATAATCGATCAAATGTGGTTATTCTCTTGTAAAAGAAACTATCAGCGTGTCTTTTTGTTTCCTCGAAAGGTCGTCTCACACAAACAAACACACACAGATAGAGAAGACAGCAGTTTAACGCTGACCCCACTCCTCACACACTGTCACACACACATCCGGTGTGTTTTTGCTGTTTTAGCTCTTTATCAGGCAGAGATAGAGGCGGCGGGGGCGACGCTCTCAGGACCTCTGCTGAACTCTGGGACCTGAGGGCCGCTGTCATGACCTCTCACCTCACACTTGTACACACACACACACCTACACACAGATAACTGGATAACACACTCCTGCCTGCAGAGAGTTCATCTGTGTTTGGTTCCTGATCACTCAGTCAACACTGTCGCACTCTAACGGCCTCACACACACGCTGAACGGCGAGCTCCTCACACATCTGTAACGACGCTTTTAAAGACGTGTCAGTGTTGGCGAAGTTGACTCGACTACACATGAACCTACTTATGCAGCAGTTTCTAAGTTTGCACCGAGCGTCCACACAGTCTGGAGCGTTTTGTGCACACGCTTGACTTCGTTTGAGTTTGGAAACAAGTGAGTTGAGTTTCTGGAAGCACAGGCCAAAACTCCACCGACCGAGAGACCCACACTTGCAGAATTCAAGACCGACCACCAAAAGTAGAATTTGCCTTAATCTGTGCAAAAACAGAAAGCACTCAGCGCAATGCAATTCATGAAATACATGCAAGTGAAATTAGGGCGACCATATCCTGAATCCACAAAAAGAGGACACGACTATGAGGGGGCGGAGTCACAGAGTCGTGCTGCATAAACTTCGAGAGTTTTTCAGGTCGGGTAAAGCGTTTTTTTTATGGGAACAAACTCAAAACTTCCAAACAAAACTCCAGACATTTGAAGGATTTTGTAAACTCCCCCAGACAAAGTCGGACAGGCTGCACAGCCCCCCAAAAAGAGGACATGTCCGGGTAAAAGAGGACGTATGGTCAGACTCGTGAAATTCATCCTCAACCAGCAGGATAGCAGCTAGTTTGCTCGCTAAACAAGGTGATGTGAAGAAGTGTTTAAGGTTGTATCAGTGAAATGACTGTTCAGGTAAAGGAAGTTTGATTTTCAGTGAGTGTCTTGGATAAATACAGAGGTTAGGTACATCTCTATAAACACAAAAAACACAGTTTTACACCCTAACAGGAGCTCTAAATCATTAAACTACTGATTCAAGATGATGACCTGACATTTTCTCTAATACTGAAAATGATTTGGAGGTAAAATCCTGACATCTTTGCATGGATTTTTTCTCACTTTTCAACTTTGTCTAGTAGTAAACAAACATTTCTATTTATATTGATTTAAACAAGAGGCCTAATACTGCTCTCATGAGGGGAAATCATGCTGCAAATGTGCAAGACGGCTGTTTTCAGACTTGTTACCCTCACCTGTAGTTTATTAAACCTACACAAAACACCACACAGGATAGGTGTGTGATTCCTGCAGGTGTAAATGTAAATAAATACAGTATTAAATAGCTGTTATATGTGTTTACAGACGTGTATGTATGGACCAAATATAACACTGAAAAACAAGCTGAATGTTTCCTTTTAAAAATGACATTAAACCAAATATAGTAGAGGTATAAATACGACCGGTGTTTGTATGCAAACAGCGACGGTGTGCTAACAGGATGGGCATGAAACAATTGAACGTGCACGGATGCGTGTAGAGGTGTGTGTTTGTGTGAAGGGTTAATCTGACCCTGGAGGCGAGTAATAAAGGAAGAGGAGTGGTGGTCGGATGGAAAGAACTGTCTTATGCCAGAGCGCACAAACACACACACACGCACACACAGACACACAAACACATCCTGGTATTTTAAGTTATGCAGAGCGTTGCCTGAAAACACAGACAGTGAAGTTTTCTTCATGGTTCCCAGAGGAATTCCCACCATCAGGACCTGGACTAGAGTTCACCTGATCAATCCTCCTCCCCTCCAGAGATCCCATTGGTTGTTGGACCCCTAAATAAAAGGAATGACTACACACACTTTGTCATGTCTGCCTTTCAAAACAACCTGTCCCTGTTCCAGCTCTGTGGATTTCCAACAAGCAGCAAAAGCGATGTGCCGAGGCCGCCGAGTGAAACTCCCGTTGATCCAAACATTTCTCATCTTCATCCGTGAGGCAGGAGGGATATGAGGAGAAAAGGGAGCGAGGCGGCTTTAGGTCTTTGATCAAAAAGGCTGCCTGAGAAAAACATTAGAGATGAGGGGGCTGAGAGGTTTTCAGGAGGAGCGGCATGTCAGAACAAGTAAAGAAATCAGCAGGAGCTGTGAGAGGAGATGGAGAGGAGAGATTACAAGGAACTGAAGGACGGGGGGAGAGAGGCTGCACAGATGGAAAACTGAGCACATGAGAGGTGATAGTGAGGAGCAGATGAGAGAGTGAGAGTGGGCCGAGAGAGAGGGGAGAGCAGACGGAGTCCTTTATCGGTTTATTGGAGAAAGTTTTATGTACCCATAAAACACACAAAAAAAACTCTCTAAAGGATCTCCTTCAGGTGTCCAGGCATGGAGAGGTGGTTATTCTCGCAGCACCATGATATGGATTTGTTTTTGAAGGTTTCACATGAGTGTGACGGTTTATAAAGAAGGCAGGGATCTCAGTGTGGGACTCATTTTTCTCAGATTTTAGGGTCTCATTGGTAAAGTAGCTGAAAATAGCAGAGAAACAGGCTGGAAAAGTAGCAGCCTGATCAAAGTTTCAACACCAAAAGTAGGGCTCGGCGATATAACCCCAAATCAATATCACGATATATTGATCAGTTCACCTTGATAACGATAAATGGACGATAACTACTCCACAAGCTGCTCACCCCCTCCACATTAACTTCGTCTACTTCAGCCGCTACAACTTCTGAACCGTCCTCCATCTCCTCACCTGTCTTTCCCTCTTTGTTACAGACTGGATGGGGTGGAGTCACGTCTCTGACGTAGGACAGCGTCTTAAAGGGACGTGAGACCATAGCCTACCTACACATCCAAAACCAACTTTGATTTACTTATTTTTTTGACACCGAATATACTGATATGGGCAAAATGATGTCTGTCATTGTCGTAAATTTTGGTACCTGTAAATTTTCGGTTTATCGCCCAAAATTCTTTTTTTTTTTTAAAGCTTAAAACTGTAATAAATATTTCAACAGCAATAATCATTTAACAATTATGACCTCAATCTCCAAAAACTGTGGATTTCAATCCCATAAATACACAACTCGTTACTCTACAACACTCATGTGGTCAACTTACAATTATTGTACAACTTTTATGTTATGTTGTTTCTGGCGCCCCCTGTGGACAGAGCTGAAACTGTCACACTCACGTCATGGTATGGGAAGTATGGAAAGTATGGAAACAATTTGATCAATTTCCAGGTCTTAAAAACTATGGTGAATGAAAAATAAATATTAATGTTTCCAGACTACTACCACAGTTATAAAAATACAGAAATAGAAAAGTAGATATTTCCAAAAATATTTCTAAAAAGTAGGGTATGAAAAAGTATTGAAATTTCAACTGTGTAGGAACACGAGCTGTTTACGACTAAAAATCTTCTTGCCATCTTTTAACAATCACGTGAATCATTTTTCTTGAAGATTTAAAATGTGAACGAGTCGCCTTGTTTACATCTTTCCCCTGCAGTGTGTATACACATTGGTAATGACAATACAGCAATAATCCATCTTCACACATGTGACATTATCAGATAAAATCTCCTCAGGAGCTTTAAAAATCATGTAGGAACAGCTGCTTGTGGACGATAGGTGTGTTTTTGGATTTTTCTTTGTGCCTATAACTGAAAACTTTAACACCTGTGTGCAGATTTAGCTTTTTTCTCCGAGTTTGTTGGAAAAATGAAATTCAGTTCTGTTTCATATCCTCGTTTCATGTAAGACTCCACTCTGCCTCCTGTTTGCTAACACAGTGATAGTTCTCCATGATTCCCCCTCCACAGCTGCTTCTCTACCCATCCCTGAGTTTCTTCTTTAAGTATGCGGCTCTTCTCTTCATGCCACCTCAGTACAGACTGACAATTAGACGACCAGCTCCCAACAAGACTCCATCATCACATTCCTCTCATTCCTGCAATTAGAGACACGGTGCATGAGGCCATGAAGAAACGAAACACTCTCCTCCTCTCCTCCTGCTTTGTTCTTTCTCACGCTGAGACGACTGGAGATGATTGCCTGGACGAGGAGGGGGACCAGACGCAGGAGGACTCCTCCTCGTTCCTCTCTTTTCTTTTCATTGAGTCCTCTCTCCACCTCCTCCACATTCCTGAGGCCCGAGCATTACCCGGTGAGAGAAGAGGAGACATTCCTGGGATCTTTTGTTGGGCTCAGGATGCTCCTTTTGGTGAGAAATGGAGGAAGGAGCGGTAATGAGAGGAGATATTTGACTTTTAATGTCCTCAGAGCTGGAGGTGGTTAAGAGATCAGGGGTGATAATGACCTTTTACTTTTCACTGAGGGTGGATTCACTGACGAGGATTAGACCCTTTAAGAAGATGTGTGGAGGGAGAAAGTAAAAGATTTCACTCCTAATATCTTTGAAAATCTTTAAGAAGTCTGCATCCTTTGATTGTAGTCACGTTTAGGGAGAGAGGAGACCAGTTTATTGAGTTTTAAAGTTAAGTGTTGCCTCATTCTAGAGAGTTTCTACTTTGGGGTCTCCTTTGTTGAATTTTTCACCAGAGTCCTGCAGATGGATCAGTTTAGCAGCAGGACTCTTCTACTTCAGAGCCATAGAGTTGGACCACTTGCAGGATGTGGTTTGGTGTTGTCTCATTCCGGGTCTTCCCTAAAAAAGTGGTTCCTCTCCTTTTGAGAGTGGAGGAAGCAGCGTCTATAATCTCCAAAGAGAATCAAACCATGAGACAGTTCTTCCTCTTCATCCATGTCGATGGGTTCAGGTCCTGGATTAGATCTATATATACTTTCCTCTTTGCACGGCGCAGTTTGAACCTGCATTTGTGGCTCCAAGGACAAACTTCACTCACAGATGCTGATTTTTAAGTCTATGCGGTGATTCCCACTACAGTCATGCCAGTTTTAATACAGTCCTGCCTGAGAGCCCAGGGATCACGACCATCCAGCCCAGAATTTTTGCATTTGAGGAACATTATTCTGGAGTAGGGCTGGGCGATAAACTGAAAATTTACCGTCACAGAAGTTTACGATGATAACCAACATCATTGTGCCCATATCGGTATATTATCGCCCAGCCCTAGGATGAGCTCTACGACTTAAATAAACCAACTTTAGGAAACTGTCAGTGGAGGTACACTTAATTTATGGCCCTCTGGTCTTGGTTTTGGATTCTCTTTTGTACGGTGATTTCTGTAATGGAGATGAAGAAAACCCAGAATTTTTGCATTTGAGGAACTTTATTTGGATCTCACATGTTGACTTAGCATTATTTTGAAATGAAAATTTTGTGCAAACGATCAAAATCTGCTTTTTATCAACATTTCCCTCAGTATCTCGACTATTTTTGGACGTTTGGTTCGATTTCAGGAACGCTGACTTTTTCAGATGAGCGTTATGAAGAACAGATTTTCCCGAAATGATGCGAAAGTTGAACGCACAATGAATCCACAGGATGAGGAACGATAAATCAGTCTGCGAGTGTATCGGTCAGTCAGACTTCACATTATTCAGCTTCATTAATCTGACCTGCCAGCTCCTTTATCCTCCCACTTCATCCATTTTCCATTGTTCTGCTTTCTGCCTTGATTGCTGTCCACCGCGCATTAACATTCCTCAGACATTAAGACACACCAAATACCCCCCAACACACACACACACAGACACACACACACAGACAGACATAAACACACGCCGGTCAGCTTAGTCAGCAAACAAGCAGATAGAAAGCAAATACTCACACAAAGGTTCGACTCTCTTACAGTCGGATATGTTGTCGGGCCGTGATAAAGACATGCAGTCTGGTTCTCAGGCAAAGACGGTCCAACATACACATCCACACACACACACACTCTCTCATAAACACACATATCAGCTAAATTGGTTCTCACAGTACTTCCCAGCGCTGCAGAAATAGCTCAGTCAGCCTTTAAATCTCAAAAATGTGTTGTAGTCATTCAGACTCATGACCCAGTTTTCTCTCCCCGTTTAAAGAACCAAACCAGAATTTTGACTTAATTCAGCATTTTGTCGTTACTCTGAGTTTGATGCGTTTGTGTGTATTAAAGCAAATGTTCAAAGTAAACAGACAGGCCTCGAAGAGTGACTCCATATATGCAATATCACCGAGCTGTTTCTGACTCACGCTCAGTAATAATGAGGGTTTTTTTCCTCTTTAGTGAATACTGAGAAACATGGACAGACGTAAACACAGACACCTCCACCACGCCCTGCAGGGCGGCGAGGCCTTTCCCTCATCACTTTTACCTCCAACGTGACCATAAGTAGGTGAGAAACTCCTGCGTTTCCCTTCTCTCTCCGTCAGAGTCAAACACACAAAAGGTCTCTCACAATATCCTGTTTCCGAGTGCTGCGCGTTATTGCGGGATCCCCCCCCGCGCTCAGCTGGTGAAAGTCGGGGAGGGAAAAACAAGCGTTCATGTGAGAGGCGGCCGCAGACGGTTCAAATGCATCAGCTGACGAGAGCCTGGGCATTGTTGACTCCTTCTGAAGTCCGACTGGTTTATGTCTGAACACGAGACGGGACCGCTGATGGATCAGACTCAAAATAGTCTCTTATTGTCTGAAAAGTTTGAATGTGTAATTTTTTTTTTCTTCATGACAAGCTCTCAGGGTGCAAATCCCGTCAAATTCAGGTGCAGAAGCAAGTCTAGGTCCTCATATTTATCAGACAGAGATTAAAAACTCTGGAGTGACGCGGCCTGCAGTCGGTGTGTGAGGTCCTGGAAAGTAAAGCAATTAAAAAATCCTAAATTAAGTGAAAGTCCACTGACAGTTTCTTAAAGTTGGTTGAATTATGTCGTGGAGCTCATCCTAGGGCTGGGTGATATGTCCTCAAATCAATATCACAATATATTGATCAGTTCACCTCGATAACAATAAATGGACGATAACTACTCCACAAGCTGCTCACCCCCTCCCACATTAACTTCGTCTACTTCAGCCGTTACAACTTTTGAACCGTCCTCCATCTCTTCTCCTGTCTTTCCCTCTTTGTTATTGACTGGATGGGGTGGAGTCACGTCTCCGACGTAGGACAGCGTCAGGGACATGAGACCATAGCCTACCTACACACATCCAAAAACAACTTTGATTTATTGATTTTTTTGACACCGAATATACCGATATTGGCAAAATGGCGCTGGTTATTGTTGTAAATTTCTCTATCGGTAAATTTTCGGTTTATCGCCCAGCCCTAGTTCATCCTGTCAGCAGAAAATGATAACCTAGCTTCTGTTCCGGTTCTCTGTGTGGTTCCCCAACAAATCGACCGAGCTGGCGGTCATCCATCGTAGATATTAAACTTATTTTTGACAAGTGCGTCATACAAGCCCATTCCAATAAAAACAAACCATCTCAAAGTCAAACTGGTTTAGAGGACAGGACTCTCAGCTGGTTGAGACTCAAACATCTCGACATAAAATCTCCAGAAAACGTCTTCGTTCGCACGTCGCTTCAGTCCGCGTTTGTTTTGGAGTTCACTCTGATTGGCTGCAGCTGTCTGGAGGTCACAGCCGTGTCATTTTAGTTTACTCAGAAACCAAAAACTCTGGAGCGTCTCACACCCTGAACATCAGCTGGAGTTTTCACCCTGAGCTGCTCTTTATGTAGACCGAGGATTAATAATGAAATGACCGATTTTACACCGAGACAGTTTTCTAATCTCTCCTCAAAGAAAACTGTAGATATCAGACTTGACTCACTTACAGAGCTGAAGCTGAATAAATATTTGACCCAATCAATGACTCTCCACCGTCTCCGAGTGTCTGCTGATAACACGGCATTGTGAGCGGAGTCGCTGAGGTCCAGCTGGCTTTGTGTGTGTCTGTGTGTGCTTTACGTTAAACGATCAATGAGAGGAGACAGAGAGTAAACCTGTCTGATGTTGAACGCAGAGAAAATGAGGAGGACAAGTCAACAAAGGGGAACTACTTCTATGGATGTGAGCTCTGTGGACGCTGCGGATGGGTTTGAAGTCACTGGACCTGACTGTACGATGCCTTTGTCTATTTTTATTTTTTTATACCTTTTTTTCTTCTTTGTCAACATTTTCTTTACTACCCGGCTTCTTACAACACATTAATGCTACTCAACTTCAGGTCAAAGTTCAGCGTACAGACTGCAGGGCATGTGCAGAGCCCTTATGGGGCACGAGTGAAATCATCTACTCACTTAATTCGCATGAATCTGGACGCGTGAATGAAAAGTATTTACTCGCTTCATTCGCGCGTCAACGGTAATTTCAACGCTAACCCTGCCAATTCATAGACAAGGGTTTTTTACAATTTACCGGGTAATCCGACCTCTTCACTCACTTAGCAAACTCCTTTTTATTCCGGTTTCGGTGATTGAAAGAAGAGGTATCAATAATTTCACACATCACCCGTCAATCTTCATGCTGATTAGATATTGCGACACAAATCAGCCCAAGTTAAGACATTTTCAGCTCCCGCCTAATTCGCGTCAATCATGCCGCCAGAGGAGTAGGAGCGTCTAATCGCATCTTTGCGTTGACTCAACATGTAATTCATTCACGCAAGTAAAATCATTCGCGCGAATGATTTTACTCGTGCTTGGTGTGTGGAGAAAGTTCGACATGTTTTGCATGAGAAAATGCATGTGCACATATGGTTTAAATGTCTGCAGTCACAATAAAAACATTTTACTTTATGCATTGTGAGTTGCATTATTGGTCAAGAGAAGTTTCATTCACCTGTCGGTCTGCTCACTTTTTGGCCCTCTCACAAAGTCTTTCCAACTTTATCGAGTTGGAGCTTCATGTGTGCACAGAAACTCACTCCTCCTCCTCCTCATTCATGCTCCACCCTTTGTTTTGAGTTTCTCCTTCAACACAGAAAATCCACTTCTATCAGGAGCAGATGTGAACAACAAAATGGTCGTTATTTGAAGTCTTTAAAACTAAAAAGCTTCTCTCACAGCATCCACTGCTGAAAGCGTCTGCATTGTTTTAATTTTCCTTGTTTTTGACACGGGTGATGATCCCGGTCTTATCTCCAGAGAGTTAAGCTCCCACAGTAAAGGAAGAACACAAGCACAAATCCCACACACTCCCTCCACTTAAGTATTAGACACACTGTCTGCCTCCTTCAGCCCTCTCTAACCTGTTGTACCCCGACAACAGAAGAAAACTTCTACTGACGCCAAACTGCTTCACCTCTCTGACCCGAGGCAGAGAATAAAACCAGTGCACCTGTTCTCAGCTGAATCCTCCTCGGTGTTAAAATCATCCTTTTCCCATCGGAGATTATTGCTTCTGAAACTCCCTGATTTATGTGTGGAACAAAACGTGAAACCGGCTCTGCGCACAATCGACGAGATACGAGGAAGTGTGGGAGGGAGAGGACGAGATAGAGACAGTGAGAGCGGAGGATTACACGGTCAGTAGGGCAAACACACACAGAAACACACACACTTCCACAGCCTACACAAAGCTCATGTCTGGTATTTACCACTTCCTGGGTCCTGAACAAGAGGAGCGTGTTAAAAGACAGTTTTATTGATCCCTTTGTGTGTCTGTAAGCTTGTTTGTGGACATTTAAAGCTGGAGGAGTCGTCACATTTTTCACTGGAAACAGGTCGGCAGTTGTAGCTTTTATTTCTTAAAAGGTCATCCCTCTGTTTTTACGCACCTGTAGCTTAGTGGGGCCCATTCCCAGGTAAACTATAGGTGCAAAAACCACTGAAACGGCTCCAGCAGATCGCTCTGCAGCTGTGAAACAGACTGTAAAAAATCTTCTGCATAAGGACAAACATTTTCATGTGAGGTTAAGATGCTTTCCTACACTTCCATTGATAAAAAACTATTGCACTTTGCTAGGATGACCATACGTCCTCTTTTACCAGGACATGTCCTCTTTTTTCGGGGCTGTCCATCTTTGTCCAGGGAAGTTAATAAAATCTCTCAAATGTTCGGGGTTTTGTACGTAAGTTTCAAGATTGTTTTACGTTGACTGACTGAGATAGAAGCACGTAAAAGACACTCGATCCAACCCTAAAAACTCAAAATTAACTTCATACCAAGTTTTATTCAGATTAGAAGCATTTCGAAATGCGCAGAGTTGTCTGATTTCACTAAAACAACCGCAGAAGAAGAAGAAGAAGAAGAAGAGTTGTATTTACGCCTGTGCTGTCAACAAACCAACAAACGTGGTCGTGGCTCACTCCATCCAATTCAGGAGTTTTCCCCTGTTAAATGTTGTCACTAGATGGCGCCCTTGCATGCTTATTTTACTGTTCTGTCAAAGGTTGCACTGTGCGTGCAGATGTGACATCATTACGCTGTTTGTACGCCTTATTATGTTATTGGAGGAGCAGACACGGCATCTGTGGTTGTGTTAATAATAAAACCTCCTGTACTGACCTCAATAAATAAAGAGTGAAGATGGAGTCAGGTTGGAGAGTCATGATCGGAATAAGTGTTTACATGGACGCATTTTGGAATAACGATCGGCATAAACCACCCCTCTTGATCGGAACACAATTTCTTAACAATCGAGCCGAATTGGATCAGAATCTTCTGATCAACATGATTTTATGACACTTTTTTTTCCAATCCGTCATTTATTCCAATTATTTGTGTCCATGTAAACATGGCAAATGTGGTACTGCATGCTGTTTGTCCTCTTGAGGCTGTTTGCGAATGTTATGAACTCTATTATTAGATGCTGATTTTTGCAGCTTTGTGTATTGGTCTACGCAGCTCATCTTTGTGGTCTGGGTGGATTTTTCTCTTTATTTGTCCATT